AAAAGAAATAAATCATGTTAAGAACAGAGAATAGGGCCTGGCACATAGAAAGTGCTATTCCAATGCTAGCTGTATTTTCACGGGAATGGGAGCTATGTGAGAGAATGGGCACTGTCTCTCTTGTTCACTCCAGTGTGACCACCTCTTGGGTAGTTTCTGGAACCACACAGAGAAAAAGATTCCCCTTTATTCTCCTTAGTGCTTAGCTGCAAGTACTGTTACACGTGCCTTAACAAGATGAATCTTAACAAGATATGTTCCAGAGGAACAAAATAAAATGGTGAAAAAGTTGTATTTAAAAAAACATAACTGTTGAAACATTTTCCAAACTTGATGAACTACAAATTTAGGAAGCATATTAAATTTCAGATATAATAAATAAAAATATATTAACAACTAGCCCCATGATTGGATAGAGCTGTACGTCAAAGACGGACTATCCTAAAAGGAACTGAAGAGGAAAGAAAAAAAAATGTTTACCTACCAAGAAACAGCAATTAGTCTGCCATTTCTGTCTCAACAGCAGCAATGTTCATTCCTAAAAGAAAATGATTGACACCCTACTCTTTTATAAAAAACATTATCTTTCAAGAGCAAGAAAGAATAAATACATTTTCTCATGTCATTCTTAAGTTGAATAAATAAACAATTGGGAAAATTTACTATCAAAAGATTCTCATTATGAAGATTTCTAATAAAAAGTATTTTGGGAAGACAATAATACAGTAGAAAGGTCTACATTAAACATAGTTATTGGTGGGCCGGCCCGGTGCGGCGGCGCTCCCACTGAGGGTTCGGATCCCACAGACAGACCGGTTCCCGCTCACTGGCTGAGCAAGGTGCGGATGCAGCACTGAGGGTTGCGATCCATTGCCGGACACCAAAAAAAAAAAAAAAAAAAAAAANGTGTTTTCAAATTCTGTGCTCCACTGTTTTTCAGCCTTGGTTTAAGTGTTTTCAAATTCTGTGCTCCACTGCTTTTCAGCCTTGGTTTAAGTTAGAAAATCTTATTTTCTATCCTTCACATGGAGAACACAGATGCCTCATAGTGGCTCATCATGATTTTTTTTTAAGACAAGGGATATTTTTTACCTTCCCGAAATTGAAAATTAATATAAGGCATTATCTGTCAAAGAAAATACTTCCAAGATTATTAAGAATTCAACTGGATGGCCTTTGACTGTAACCCAGACTGGCAGTTTCAACACCTGCATGGTCTTGGCTTTGCTGTAATGTAAATAACTGCAGATAGAGAGAGGGTGACTGAACAGGAGCAGCAGGTGCCAGAGGAGGAGGAGCAGCCCAGATGGAGGCTCAGGGGGCTGCTGTGGGGTTTGTGTTATGGGCTGTATCACTGTGGAGGACTATAGGAACCTTGCCCGCAGTAAGACAGCGGCATCTTCAGCCTCCAGGCTGCTGATGGTGAGGCTGAAATCTCTGTCAGACCCACTGCCACTGAACCGCGATGGGACTCCAGTCTGTAAGGTGGAAACTTGGTAAATGAGTTGCTTAACTCGTCCACTTTTCTGTTGGAACCAGCTCAGATAGGTTTTCCCACCAGTGTGCTTGACACTTTGACTGGTTGTGCAGGTGATGGTGATTTTCTCTCCAGAAGCCCCAGACAGAGAGGAGGGAGACTGATTCAACACAATGTCACCAGAAGTACCTGAGATTAAAAAGAAAAAAAGGAAGAAAGAAAAAATAAAATAAAATTGAGGGTCCTCCCTTCTGTATTTCATCTTAATACTGTGAGAATTTGTAAACTGTGTTTCTGTCAGCTAAAACCTACTTTAAATAATTCTCCTTAACTATATGTGTTTGATCTTCAATGCAATTTTAATGTTCCAAAGTGAAGAAATTTTTCTCTCCCCACATTTCCACATACCCCCAAGTTCTCACCTGTGGTGTAGAGCCCCAGAAGCCCCAGGAGCAGAACAGGTGCCATCATTCTGTGTGTCCTGCCTGCTGCTCCTCAGGCCTTCCCTTGAGGGCACAGGCTCTTCATGGGGCTCTGAGGGAACATGCAAAGCAGGGGAGGGGCTGAGCAATTAGGGTTCAGAGAGTTTAAAAGAGAAGAGCAGAGATTCCATCCAGATCCTGGAAACAAGGGCAACTCCAAAAGACAGTTCTCCATTCCAAAGCTTGGTGAAGTATGTTACCTCATATTCATTATGACCCAAAGTCATTTAGAGAATTATACCTGAGACTTTAAGTTTCTATCTTCCACTAAAGTAATAAAAATTTCAAGTGATAAAATTGGACACAGCCCCTGGGTGAGTAATCATTACCTCCCCACAGCCTTTTCTAGATCAAACATCTGACCCAGCAGATGTTCACAGGGTAGATGCTCGGTCCTTGAGAAGAAACGCCTTTTTCGTTGTGAATAATTTCAGAATTAGTTAGTATTTCATATATGTTCCTTTTAGTTACATAATTTGTAAAATGGACTTTTTAAAAATAAAACTATTTAACTGGGACAATCACAATTCCTACTCATGCTGCCTTGGGCTACCCATTCTTTGACTATGCTAAGCAGGACTGGGAAAAATAAAATTAAAGAGTTCTGGTATTGAAAGTTGAATAGAAAACTTTTATCCATAGTTACGTATTTGTCCTGCACACAGTTCAAAATTGCTGACATTTGACGTTTATTTGTTATTTTAGTAATAGACACATTACATATAGTTACTGAAATTTGTGTAACACCACATGTGAGATATTAAATCACCGACTGGCAACATTGGGCTCTGTTCCTTACAATGACAGCAAATGGGATCTGCAGTGGCTGACCATGTTTGTCATGGTGTGTCTTTGCATGTTTGCCAATATTATGTCATGCTCTCTCCTTTCAGGCCTTGACACCATTTTAGTTAAGATTCTAAAACAGAAAAAAAACCAAGAAACAATAAAAGGGTAGTAACGTTTTCTTCTGAGTATTGAATAGTTTGATTTTTCCCCATTTTGAAATCTGTCACTCATATGTGTCCATATCTCCTACACTCCACTTTATGTAAATTTGGTCTTTTGTCACATACAGCACTTGGATCAGATAGAGACTCTCCTGTCAGAACTTCAAGAGTCATATCCCTCTCAGGATTTCTCCGTTTCCACTGAGTAATCCATTCACCTTGTGTCTAAAGCAGCCTCCAAGGTCTTAGGGATGCCCTGACTAGACAGAACAGAGTCCACTGTGCCCAGTTTTTCTCAGTATTCTGAACCTTGCCTGGGTATGACTTTACTAAGATTGCTCATAAAAAAATGGAGAAAGTCTCCATATGTCTCCTTGTAAGCTCAACCCTTTGCCTCAGGATACTTGCATCTAGAATGAAGTGTAATATCTTAATGTGTCAAGCTACAGGGTGTTGCTCTAGTCTTGACAGAGTCAATATCACATCGACAGCTGAGCCCCAGTCACATGGAAGGTGTGTGAGTTGTTTCTTATACATCAGTAGTCCCGATTTTTCTTTATATGAAGTCAGATAGTATTCACAGGCATATATTCTTTATATATCCTAAAATATAAAATACATAGATTTGTCTTTTCTTCTTATAGTCAGAACAAGTCAGTAGGGAAAACCATCCCAAGAGTTGAGCCTAGTGGGCATAGAGTCAGCAGTTGCATTTTATGCCTCTGCTCTTTGCTCTGAGCAAATGGGGCATGTCCTAAAGAGGAGACTTCAGGGCTAGAAAGCAGAAAGTGTGGGGGATAGTGATGAAGCCCATAGAAAATAATACAGATATTGGGAGAATCATTCTGAGAATGTGGACATGACTGTGTAAATTTTAAGCCTAAAAATTACTGCTTATATTTTTCTTTTGAGTTTAAAATGTTATGTGGAAGGGCCGGCCCGGTGGCACACTGGATGTGCGCCGCTTGGGAAGTGTGGCGGCGCTCCTGCCCGAGGGTTCGGATCCCACATGCAGACCGGTTCCTGCTCACTGGCTAAGCGAGGCGCGGGAGCAACGCCAAGGGTTGCAATCCCGTTGCCAGTCCCCGGTCCGGTACGGGGGCAACACTGAGGGTTGCGATCCATTGCCGGACATGGAAAAAGACAAAAGACAAAAAAAAAAAAAAAAAAAAAAATGTTATGTGGAAAATTAACAGAAATGGGGAATTTAAATTTATATTTCTCAAGTGGCAGGTGCTGCATAGAGGAAAATACTGCTGCTAAATTG